AGCGAAACATCGTACACCAGGCTTTTCATATGTCCCCACACATAGTAATTCATCGGTGTGAGATGTGGGCTTCTTGCTGGCCAGGCAATGGGCCCGCCTCTGCCAATCCATTGATTTGGAAACTTAGTCTAAATACGCCCGTACTAATCTACTGTAGTGTGCGGGACAGCCGTCGTGCTGGAACCGCATATTTTGTCTCGTCGCCAATGGGACGTCTTCCATTAATGGAAACAAGTGATTTTTCAAGAACTCTTCATAGACTTCTCCATTTAAATTGGCGGGCAGAAAATGAGGTCCAATTAAATATCCATCAATGATGCCCATCCACACATTGACTGAAAACCGGCTCTGAGACCCCGTCGGTCTTATTTTTCGGTGGTTTAAAGCTTCTTTATCAGCTCAGCAATGAGCATTATGGTAGTTAGTGATCCCGTCCTTATCAAACTTCGATTCATCGGTCCACAGAATTTTCTTAAAATAGTCTGGATCTTCTGTATTTGCATGTAACATGTACCTGCAGAAATCTAATTGTCTTGCAGGATCGCCCTCTTCAATCACATGCACAGGCGTGTAGTGATAAGGGTATAATCTTGAAGTATGCACAGTAAACCATACTTTGTAATGTGATATACCCAACTGAGCAGCCACAATGCGCGTAGACGTAGTAGGGTCTTCCTGAAACACACGAAGGATTTCCTCTTCATCTTAAGGAGGATAGACTCGGGGTCGACCAGCATCACTATGTTGCCTTTGAACACAATGAACACAGAGTCAAACACACATGAGGTGTTCGGCGATTCGGGAAACGTTGCCGATATTCACGGCGGGCAGCGGCGGAATCGCCGTTACAAAGTCCATAACAGAACCAGCGCCACCTTCAACTTAGTTGAAGGTGGCGCTGACAGAACATTATGTCTGTGTATTCTTCATTTGTAAAAGTTTGCCCGTGCTCGCTATGGCGAGGTCCTGGCGGATCTTCTGCGTCTGCCATGATGATAAAGAAACCACTCGAAATAAACTGGGAAGCTCGAAAATAATATCGCGCGTAAAACGTGTCGCGTACGCAGTAGTTGACACCAACTAAACCTAATTCTCACTCGGCGTGCGGCGATGGCGTAACTACAATGATGAATAATAACATCTCTCTCTCTCGCACTCCTCCATTAAGTCGGCTCTTCTCGCTCGCTTCCTCGTCGAGCCGATGCCATAAAACAATCATGCATGCGAGTCCTTGGAGGACAGTAACGATTTGTTCAAACAGGTAATACAAATTCCTTAAAAATCCAGCCTCTGTGGGTGTCATTGTTGTTTCTCTGCATGTATTTCAGATAATTGAACGCCTAATACCTCAAATGAAAGCTTGTTAGATAGAGATATTATTTACATAATTTGCACATTTCATTACTAGGAGATTTTTTACAGAAAATTGCATTTTTTATCGAATAAGTTAGTAAAAAATAAGAAAATCATACATTTCAAAAACGTAATTTTAAAACTTTTGTAAGTTTTCAACATTTTATTACTTATTATGAACTATTGAACTGTCCGCTATGCGACGATAACAAAAAAATCAAAATCAAACATGTAGTTTTTTTGTATTTCAAATTTAACCGTCTGAAATCTGAATCAAAAATAAAAAAAATAAAATTCAAATAACTCAAAAACGGTTAACTTCTGTATAGGACATTATAGGACAAAATCGGTTGCTTTTGACCTAATCTATCACCCCTTAACAGGATTACGTGACATTACAACTATAGTTTCAAATCGGTATCTAAATTTTTTACTGTAACAGTCAAAGATACAAAATATACCTTATTGAAAGTCCAGCAAGGATCGAATCATTTTGGTTTTCTTCATGAACTCATACACGGCATTACGATATGTACGATTTACTGGGGTACTGTCGTGAGACAAAAACAGTCAGGATCCCACGAATATCATGATTTTATGACAATTTAACAACGTGGCTCTGCATGCTTTCACATACACATATAAAACTTTTTTGCTTTATAACTTTCTTAGACCTTGCGTAACACGTAAGCTGTCTGTCTACTCAGTAATATACAACATCGGCATCTAATTTATTGTAAGCAAAAATCTAAAGATTGAAGGTAACATTTCCTTCGAATGTGCACGCACAAAAGTCAAGCAATCAGAACTGTCAGCGAATCGGCACTCGGTGGATGGCGGCCTGGGCGGTAACGTATAAAAAGTAACGTTGATTTGAAAAATTATAGTTCAAGAAGTATATTGACAAGCTATGTTATATGGTATAAGCACATGGTTTCTCTAGAGATCCACCTTTTATTTATTAAAACGTGTTTTTGAGCTTTCAAATGATGATTTTGATCGTGAACATGCTCTAGATGAGAGGTGAAATCTGAGCAAAACATTAGGTATACCAAGAGAGGTCTTTGAAGTTTGCCGGTCATCTTCACTAACCTTGTCACTTTCAATTGGTTTGACATCGCATTAAAGTGTTCATGCCGTGTTGCCAAATTGGTAGAAAATATTTATAAACTGCTATATTTATAATGAGCTGAATGAAATAACGAGTTTTATTATTTATATATATGAATAGTAGACCATTCAATGAGGTTTCTAGGAATACTATGAAATCCATTGGCAAAGTCAAAATGTCGGATACTTTTGTGATAAACTTGTACAAATATTTTCCAGCGTGCTACGTGCACATTGGCTGAAAAATATATTCCATAGACTGCAAATCAATCATAGTATCCCCACTATGAACACATGTATTTCACGGTTTTTGACGGGGTCACACTAAGACTACCTTCATCACTTTTATATGTCCATCTCCTTCAAACATGCATACTTTGTGCGCGGATGTTAGTGTATGCTGAGACATACGTTCTTTATTTTCGTCTCGCCAAGAAAATTGTCTCGCCAATGTACGGGTATTTCTAATCTATGCCTGTTACTGTCAAGGTTGAAAACTTACTAGAAACGGATATACCTTTGAGAAAGCAATTGTCCCTTATTAATCAATTTATGTGCGCGAGGTTAGCTGCGTTTAAGATCGGTTTGAGCAGTGTGCAATTTTCATCTGGAGCTTCAGCTTCGCCAATGGTACAGTTAGCCGATTTGCTTACTTATTTCGAAAGTCACAGTCAAAAACTATGACATGAACCTTAAGCCTAAATTTGAACTAAACGTTTAGTTTTTCGCTACAAGTGAACAATGAATTCAGCAAAAAAGAATCTGGCAACACCGCATTCATCACTCATCAAATAACAACAACAGGTTACTCGCCATTTTATCCCTTTAAATTAGTTTGACCAGTCTATCTTTTTATAATTTTATTTGCCTTGTCCGACTCTCCTTTCTTGGTATGCCTTCTCTTTGCTTTAGCATTAGTGGAATTTTTTGTATGCTCAAAAACACGAGCACATACAATCTAAAATTTTGTCTAAGTCATAAGTTTCGCTATGCAAAACCATTTGCTTTTATCTTTAATTGGAGTTTTTCCAGATAAGCTGTGCAACATTAACATTAGCTCAACATGTAAATTAGATACATTTAACCTTAACAATCAAGTAATGGCAACGAACATGGTTCCTAGTGACCTAGACCTACTACCACAATGCCACTTAGATAGAACAGTTGTTTATGGGCAGGTATATAAATATAATGTTGAAAGTGACATGTAAACTCAGCTATGTAGAACAGAAAGGATACAATCTATGTTGCCTGGAATATAAGAATTAAGGGCGTCGGATGATCCAAAGAGCTTAATGGAAAAAGACAAACGATGATAGATTATATACGGCGCGGATTATCCAATTTGTCTAAAATGTTTTAGAAAGTGCCTAGCTGTTTTGCCGAAATTTGGTTACATTAACTTGAAACACAATGGATATATTTTAGCCTAAAATGTACTTGCTTGCAATCGTTTGCTCGGCGTTGGATTTTCGGTCTGTACGCGGCTTAACATACAATTACAAATCTTCACTATAGATTAATATGGATCAGTAATTGTCACAGTACTTTTACAAACAGAAGTACCTGATGATTTTTTAACATTATTTAACATGTGGCATATAATTTCCAGTTTAAGGAGAAATTGGATACAAAAAATCATAAATAGAATATGGGCTTTAGTTTAGCATCATTCGAAAATCTTCATACCAAAATTTAAACAGAAATGTCTGTCTGTTTTCCAGGTGACGTTTGATGATTTTCTTTTCATTTTCATGTGTGTTACTACAATAATGTGAAACGTCCCATAACAAGCTGAGATTGCGCGTAGCCATCATTCCAAATTTTCAGATGGCATCACGCAAAACCAGTATTTGCAACATTGTAATCGAAGATTGCATAAAAATTAACCGGTGTGTTACAAAAGTTCTGGGTGGGCTTTCCCGTTTTTTTTTTGTTGTTTTTGGGTTGGTTTGGCATGTTCGGAGCGATGGATGAGGGTGACGAATCTGGTACATGAAAAAAAAGCTCATACTTTGGAGTGCTGGACGTTCCTTTTTGACAGCGGGAATGCCTACCACCAGGCGGTCCTGGGCTATGCTATGTTACGGGATCTTTCACACTATTGTAGTAACATGCTCTATAGGAATATGAAAATTAAGAGAAAAAACAAACGAAGTATCACCTGGAAGACAGATAAAAAAGACTCATTGTCAAAGCCTTTGTACTGAAAGTCATCGTTGTGGCCACAGTTCTGACTGAAATGCTTAGAATACAAAATAGTTTTTCAGCACATATTGAGGATTAGATACTAAAAGGTCTGAGAAATATTGGAGCGTACTGACTACTAACTATCAGATTTGTGAGATACCGACTTTTGTATTTTTATTATAACCACTATGCATTACATTGGAAATGGGATTTATTATAATTTGAGATTATTGAATTTCGGCAGAACAGCACTCACTACCAGAGGTTATTCCTTACTCATATATTGGCTAGAAATGGATGAATGAGGTTGTGTGTGTCACTAGACCGGCTGCTCAATTCCGTTGCAGGACCTCCGGTCGATGTGGGCGTTACCATGTACGTGTTGAGCATCAGCTCACTCTCTGAAGTCCAAATGGTCAGGGTCATATACATACGTGACGTCTTTTTTCTTTATATTTATTACGTGTGACTCGTTTTATTAATCGTTTATACATACTGCACGTCATGTTTAACAAAAAATATTTTCCAAATTTCATATCGCGCTGCCATACCTATACACAGGGGTATCTCAAATTTCATTGGGACCTACTTGATGTACAATTTAATGAGTTAGCTTTAAAAACACAAACTTTTGGATTCTCGATGATGAAGGTACCCATTTGCAAGTGAGTGTTTTCCATTACGTTTTTGAAATGGCTGCTCGAATCCCAAGAGGATTATTGGTAAGGACAATTTTTTCTGAAATTGTTTCGGGCCCCATAAGTTTTTGAAGTGCGTGGGTAGCAAATTTTCTCATGGGTGCGAGATCCCAAAAATAATCCTTATTTTTAGGGCCAACTGGAATCATCCGAGGAGAGGGAGGAGTTGCAAAGAAACTCTTTTGAGAGCACCCAGTCCCTAAAATACCTTGTCGCTGATAACCTGATTCGTAGATTGATCAGCTTGGAACAAAGTTTCCGCCAACTGTCTCCACCTAGCACCTTCCAATCCAGGAATGGCACACCCTCATTAACTAAGTTCCCAATTTATCTGTCTTATTTACAATCTGCAATAGTCTCTAGTATCATAACTGCCGCTGATTTAATGCATTATCTCTTCCCATACAACAAATCTAATTATTACGTCGTCTGAAGTAACTATATTCAAGGTATTACGGAAAGTGCCGGTTTTTTCCTATTGCGTGTATTCACCTATGGATCCTTAAGGCTCCGTGAAGCTTTTGCATTGAATCAACATAAGATAAGAGATGTTGAAACAGTTATATTTATTTTGTTGCTGTTATGGACAAACGGATACACGAAGAAATCGCTCTACTATATTTAAGATCTTTAACTTTGACTTTAGCTTTACTAGTATAGTGAAGTTTTGAGATACCCTCTGTAAAATTTGAGGCGAGCTTGTGAAAGAAAGGAAAAGTTGATTTTGACCAGCAGTATTTATAATAACCCGTTTCATATGATTTCCAAGTAGTGATAGACCCTTATAGGACTGCTATTCTACCACTCCTGCTCTGCCTGCGCTCTGTGATGGATGTATTATTAGCCGGCTATGACAAAAATGTAGTTATTCATCTGGGAATATGTTCTGTTTTATTATCTGAGAGGTATGACAATATATGCAGTTTAAAATACAAAATAACACATTTCAATGTACATTGATAGTAGTGTATTCTTGTGATTAATGTGGCCAGCACCATTGTTCTAAAGTTGCTACTACTTTGGTATCCTGTTTCTATGCTTTTCGGCGTCTTGTTATGAAGGAGTAATTACATTATACTCAGAAGTAGAATGCATACTAGTAACATTAGGGAAAAGACAACTGTTAGTCTTTGATATTGTATAGAGTTAAGTTGATTACAGTTACAAAGTGCGTCAATTTTTCTGATAATTAATCAGTATGCGACAAAGTTCATCAAAAAATTGTATTTGATTTTCATGAGAAAGCTTTGTCAGCATTTTCCTTGGAACTTCCGCTCAAGCAGAACATATTTCCCTCTTCAGTATGATAATTTTGGAACAATATACCACTATAGAGAAACTTGAAATCATCTTCCTTGATTTTCATACTGCTTGATATTGAAAATGCTAGCCGAGATGAATTAGTTGGGGTGCAATTTAGAAAATGTGAGCCACTTCAAGAGTTACAAAACCTGTGATATACGGAGTTTGTTAAGACGTTCTTGAATTAGCTCGCAGTGTTTATGAGGGCTCGATATAGCTCATTTCACCCATCCTTAGCTCAAGCATTTAACTAAATAAATGAATGAATAAAATCCATGAGACCGTTTTTTCAAACTGGTAGTTTGAGAATGTCAAAAAATTAGATTTCAAACTATCAGTTAGAAAAATTAGTTTTCATGTAGGAATGACATTTATTTTATACCACATTTCATCTAGATGCTAATCCTTGCATTTTTCAGTTACAAACTGAGTTGATTAAGCTTAAGGAAACATGAATCGTATAAAATATGTTCTAGATGAGAGTGGGTATGTTCTAAACATTTTTCAGTTTTTTATCACTGTGTGGTATAGAGGAGTGGAGAAGGTAGTCGCAGCATACTCAGTCTTCTGTTGTGGAAATATTCAGTGAAATATTATATTGCAGTACATAGGAATAGAAGCATAATTGTTTGTAAAAAAATACTTTATTTACGAGTTTAATTTTACCTAATTTAAAAAAACTTTCAATTTTAATATTGTTAGCCGTTAAACTGCCCATCCCCAGCCGAAGATCAAATGAATAGTAATTATATAAGACCAGATTATGTTAACATTTCCAGGTGTAAATTTTCATATAACCGTATAGCAAAACTGACATAAATATTTTCGCGTCAGAAGCCAGAGTACGCGAACGTCAAATGATTCGGAGATCCATGTGCCTGGTACGCGTTATCTAGCCAAAGGCAGGCCAAGGGCACGCAACTCGGCAATCAGAGACAAACTAGAGAGATAAGTGTTTGATTTGGTTTTCATTTTAGTTGAGTCAAGTATGCCTCAGTCATACCTGAAGCTTATCTGGAAGAAATAAAGAAGCAATCGACATTTTTAAAGATTCCGCATTAAGCTCGTGCTGTTTGCTGCCCTTTTTTGAGCTCTACCAACCTCAAACCTTGAGGTACAATTACTTCTTTATTTCCACCTGGATGAGTCGAATATGTGCTTTGAGGCAAAAATTGGGGTTTTGACTCGGAGCGTAAATAATGATTGGTCGCCTGTGTTAATAAGAGGCGGCAACACTGGATAAGCAGCATGCGGTTGGTTACAGGCCCGCCAGTGGACGTCGGCGTCACCATGTACGTGCTGAGTATTAGCTCCGTCTCCGAAGTACTCATGGTATTTACCCTCTTCCTCTCTACTACAACTACAACTATCTGCCGATCACTCGCTAATATCTGAGTATTCAAATATACATTAATTAATAAGTATTTGTCTTTTGTTTGGAACGTACATACCAGCATAGCAGATATCCTCCAAAAGGTGCAGATATGTCAATGTATAATGATAAAGCTTGACTTAACAAAAAAATTTAGATTATTACCTATTCTATTTTAATCAGCATACTAATTTACGAGTTTGACTTCTAACTCATTTACGCTCCATATGACCATGTTGATAAAATGAATGTTGAAATATAAAAAATTGCTGAAGCGGATTCTCGAAAACAATGAATTAAGTGTATTTTCATTCCCTTCAAGCCTATATAAACAAGTTGCATTTCGTATAATAAAAGTGAGGAGTAAAATATTTAGACATTTCAATATACATTGGATTATCTGTACCTCTGAAGCATTTTTAGTGAAATATAAGCATCAACAGCATTCGACCATCTACAGAGAGTATTATTCTACCTTCCGTATATCACCACACTTTATTATTTTAATCGAAATCATCATTCTTTGAATACTGTTGATTCTATGAAATTTCACTACTAGTGCTGGAGTGTATTTAGCTCTATATTTTGACTCTTATTGAATGATGTGTGATCATGACACTTCAGTTAGCAAATTGCTGTTATTGTACGACGACACAGATTCTCCGATACATTGCCACGACAGGTAAAAATAATAAATGTGGAGAATTGACATCGGTAATTATACTGCAGCAAATAATGAGTTATAGCACTAATAATTAAATCAATTAGTATTTGGCAGCACATTAACTAATTGTACTGAATTTTTAAATCAGTAAATTGCATAAAGTGAGATCGAATAATTTCAATTATGTTTACTTTTAATATACGTTTTAAGCGTAAATCTCACGTAAAACATTAGTAAGATGATATAACATCGCGAAAAATAATCAAAACTGAAGCAGAATTTGTATATCATGCATTCCAACAGAAACCTAATAATTAACGATCACTTCTCATTCAAAAAGAGTTCAGGATATGTATGTACTTATGTATTACATGTTTGTAAATTGCAACTAAACAAGTCAGATGGCCTTGGTACTATGTATTCTATTTGAGATGTGGGAAGTGATTCCAGAAGTTATCTTGATCTTGTTTTAACTGTAGACTCATGATGATCATTACTTCATTACCTATTCGTTTCATTTCCTACCTTCCCCTTCTTTTTTTCACATCATCTCATCCTTATAGTGATTCATAATTCTAATTATTTATGTACTTCAAATTGTCAGTGACTTACGAAACTGAGACATTTCCTAACAAAGCATGAATGCTTAATGTGGAATTGGCTGTTTTCATGACTTACTTTCGATATGTTGTAGTTTCATATACAGGATGCATGGCAAATCGGATTAATTTTCTTTAAATGCCTTGGCATATAACACGAGATACCTAAAATAATATATGTCCACCCCTTTTAAAAAGATAATGCCTTATCAAATAGGTGATACTGGTGTAAAAGGTCAAACTCATAGTTGGTAAACACCTGAGTTTGATGCAAAATGACTACTGTCCAGATTCACAATTATGAGACACCGCTCTAAATAATAATTTGCGCTAACGCGGTTCAACCTGTGATGACAAAAATACATTTGAGAGTAGCAAGTAAAATCGAACAGGTTCAGGGTGACATTTTCAGAATTCTTTGTTGTGTTGTAACTAAAAAATCCAACTATTTTCAAATTCTGCCCCTGGTAACGTGCAATTAGAGTAGGCGCTTTCTATATATGGAACATACGCTCTCATAAAGAGACATGAGGAGTGGAGAACAGACTGGCAAAGCAAGGGCAGGGAACATGTAGAGAGTGCGAGTTGATAGATTTAAATACCTTCAAAGGGTAAAATCAAAAATAGCCTTGGACGGCAAGGAAGCATATTGATGTATGCATTGACGCAGCCGATAACATGTTACGGCCATGATATGGGCGAAATAGCGTACACACAGTTTGTGTGAGATACTCGTATCAGGATCGAAGTTCACGGTGAACAAATGGAGGTCTACAACAA